CAGGAAAGCCACTAGCACAGAGCAAAATCTGCACTTCAGCAGAAATCCCCCCCGGTCTCACAAACATACTTACGTCCATAATCTTCTCCAAAAAGCTAAGACACGTTGCACCACACCAGCTGACAGAAGAGCTGCATGACAGCATCTTCATAACGTAACGGATGCCCAAACATTTTATCAAGCAAAGCCAGCACCGCGTGAAAGACGGCGGTATATAGCGGGAGGAGGGGGATGGGTAAGGAGATATCTGGTTAAGCCGAAGTGAGAATTAGCTGCAGCCACTCTAGGCGGTTAAGAGGAAAGGGTGAGATAGGCTGCGGAGGGGTGCATGCAGTCACTGTTGGCCATGTTAGGCGCGGAGCTTTCAAGAATTCCCTTTGCGGCTACTTTAACCTGGCAGCGGTCACTTCTGCTGCTGCTAACAAATACTGACCCAGAAACACGGGCTGGTTGGGTGGCACGTTATAGCTCATCCGGGAGACCTCGATGAGGTACACACAAAACGCTGTTTATGCTCCTAACTTCACCTTTTCTTAGCAGCCGCAACGGGAGGTGTTGCCGTGTCTTTCTCGACACCCACCTACTCGAAAGACCAGTATGACCTGCTCCATTGGAGCAATTATTTGAGTAAATGCACACGGGGATGGTCTGTGTTGGCAACCTATTTTTAGAAGAAGACGACTCAGTCGCTGGGATAATAGGTTTATTCGCCTGAAGTTTCGACATCCGTCGCGGATACATCACCAGAGACATTAGCAGAGAACAGTAGCAGAAACGGTCAATACATGTACAAGAGTTTGCAGTATTTATAGGATACAATCATGACTGCAAACATACAGCGATAATTAAAGTTAATTGCCTTAATGCGCTTGAGGATTTTGTTGGACGTCACGCGGGCTCTGACCTATTGAACATTGATCACGGGCGGTGGACTCGGGCGTGACGATTGCTTGGTCATCTGGCCCTTCGCTGTTGGCGGAGGATAACGCTCTGGCCTGTCCGTTCCCCAAGTGGCGACTTGCTTTGGCAAAATTGATTCTTAGCAGTGAATATGGATTGGGAAAATCATTGCACTTGTTTATGGATTGGGGGCCCGTGAACCATGACTCAAGCAGTTCTCGGCTCACCCGATTGCACACCTTGCGAGAATTTCAGCCTCACCAAATTTGAATATGTGGCCGGGTCTCGTCGAATGAGACGCAAATTGAGAATCGGCATCATTTCGCCGCACTGCTGCCGCGTGTTCGGCAATTCGC